ACTTTTTGAACAGACCACGTATATTATATAGAGATATTATATATATAGATAGATATATAGATATAATATACGATAGATATAGATAGATATAATTTTCAACAATATTTTTTTCCCCAGTGCTATAAATCCAAGCCCCTACGCAGCCCCTGGAGCGCCCCCACAAGGACCACTGTGCTACTAATTATAAATTAACAAATAATTATAATTTCACTGTGAAACAAAGTTTGAAGAAAATTAATTTGTAAGCTCTCTATATAAGGATATTTATTGTTAACATTTTTATAATTATCAATTAATATTTGTAAAATTCGAATAAAAATAGGAATATAATAATAAATATAGAACTTAATTAAATGAACAAGAATGTATGTTACAATTAAATTTAAAATAAAGATTATAATTAACTCACCATATGGTAAGTTATTGTAATCGTCTAAAAATAGAAATTAAAAATGTATATCTTCACAGGTTTCTACAATGATGAATTTGCTCAGAGTTTTACTGAACATAGTCAGATAGCTGTTTGTTTGATATGTGGTATTAGTTGCGACAAAATTCATTTGGTTGTCACAATGTAATTGCTCAAAGTCAAATTGGACTATTGCTCTTTCCCAATATTTGCTTTTTGCCTAATATCTTTACACAATGAGACGACCATAAATAAAAGACTAGATAACAATTCGCTTTGCAATGACTATAAAATAATCCTTGACCATTTTTCAAAACTACATCAAATCTTAATGAAGCGTGTATTTTATTATTTTATTATTTTACTAAAAACATATGTTTGCCAGTCATTTTACGCTTTTGCAAAATTTGTAAACACAATTCATTCAGTATTTAGACGTTAGTTAATCTGTACACACTAGAATGTAACCAAAAAATTGTCAAAAATAATTAGTTTAAATGTTCCAGTTATTAATAGCTTGGTTTATCACAGTGTAATAGTGTAGTGTATTTTTGTAGAATTAATTTTCTGTAAGTATTTATATATAAGTCCTATAACTTTATATTATTTTCCTCCTACATCATATAAAATCTTTTAGTTTTTCCACTGAATGACGGTCTCGATGAAGACTGAAACGTATGGATAAATAAAGGATTTCAAAACTACTTTAGTTTTTTTTTACTTGGTGTTACTGCCCAATTCTAAATAACTCATCAATATATATATATATATATATATATATATATATATATATATATATATATATATATATATAATTTAAAATAATAAAATTCCTCATACCTGAAACATTACGTTAGCATGCAAAATAAAACTCAACACTTCTATCCATTTTCACAGCCTTTAATTATCCTCTAATAATAATAATAATAATGATTATTAACAATACAATATAAACGATTAAACGAGTCCTCTTCTAAAAAAGTCTTGGCATTCAAGAACTGTTGAATATGCAGAATAATGCAAATTTTGCACGGACCACTTTGAAAATGTTCATCGCTCCCATACTAAAAGAATAAGAAGACATAAATTAATTGGATAAGGAGAAAATAAATCTCATTGTAAGTAAATAAGAAATACTCGACAGAATTGTAACAAAATTTAGATTGAAGATTATGAAAAAGCCTTGTATGATTTATTTGAACTAATGTTAATTTGTGCAAAACCTTAGGTAGTTAACATAACCTCACTTTTGCATAAAAATAATTTAGTGCTAATACAAATATATATATATTATATATATATATATATATTTATTTATTTTTATTACCTAATATCGAATTGCAGTTCCCCATTATCAGTTAAATAATATTCGACTGGAAACAACTCAGACGAAGCCTTACACAAAGTACTACCCATTGAAATTTAATTTAACTTAACAACAAGTATTTTTTTCATTCAAATCAATTTCAAATTATTTCAACAATTATGATTCACTGATAACATTGAAATGTAACATCACTAAACAGGTGAGTGATAAAATTTTAATTAAAAATTCAATAAACATGAGGTCACACAACACAACAATAATGTTTTAGATTTAGACAGTCAAGGACAAAAACTAATAACTCGATTTATTATATAAATATATTATATATATTGAATATTAAGAATGGATTTTATATTTGTATTATTATTATTGTCACTTTTTTTAAAAGATTTGTACGTTTTATGTTAGATCATAAATAAGTTTGAGGTGAAATGTCAATATTTGAATTGGGCGATGGCGCCATCTTGAATTGTGGCGGGTTTTTCAAATTTGAATTTAAATGGTAAATGTATTAACAAAACAAAATTTATACATAAATGTAAATATATATATATATATATATATATTATATAATATATACTATTGAAATTTTTATTTGCATCTAAATAGTCTAAGTAAAACGTTTTACCTTTGTCCAATGTATAAAATTTATTTTTTACTTGTCCATCTTGTAATCTTTCTATTGCCTATTTATTAAAATATTGTTTCTACTGAATAAAGAAAGCCATTAAAGAATTAAAAACATAAATGGTAAATGTAATAACATAATAACTTTTCATTAGTCAGTGTGCTCAAAATTTATACATTAATGCAAATATATATAATATTGAAATCATTATATGCATCCAAATAAACCTTACCTTTGTACAATGTATGAAATATATTAAACATCGCCTGTCTATCTTTTTACTTATTTATCGTTTAATGTTTCAATTTATCTATTTTATCAAATCTTTCTATTAGGCATATTTTTCTGCTGGAAACAAAGAAAACCATCAAAGAATTGAAAACATCCATATATACGTTTATATATCCATTTATACACAACAAAACCTACATTTATATATGAGATTTCAAAGAAAAATTCATATATACATTTATATATCCATTTATACACAACAAAACCTACATTTATATATGAGATTTCGATGGAAAATCAATATATACATTTATATATCCATTTATACACAACAAAACCTACATTTATATATGAGATACCGATGGAAAATCAATATATACATTTATATATCCATTCATACACAACAAAACCTACATTTATATATGAGATTCTGATGGAAAATCAATATATACATTTATATATCCATTTATACACAACAAGACCTACATTTATATATGTAGATACCGATGGAAAATCAATATATACATTTATATATCCATTTATACACAACAAAACCTACATTTATATATGTAGATACCGATGGAAAATCAATATATACATTTATATAACAATTTATACACATCAAAACCTACATTTATATATGAGATTTCAAAGAAAAATCCATATATACATTTATATATCCATTTATACACAACAAAACCTACATTTATATGTGAGATTCTAATGGAAAATCAATATATACATTTATATATCCATTTATGCACAACAAAACCTACATTTATATATGAGATTTCAAAGAAAAATCCATATATACATTTATATATCCATTTATACACAACAAAACTTACATTTATATATGAGATACCGATGGAAAATCAATATATACATTTATATATCCATTTATACACAACAAGACCTACATTTATATATGTAGATACCGATGGAAAATCAATATATACATTTATATATCCATTTATACACAACAAAACCTACATTTATATATGTAGATACCGATGGAAAATCAATATATACATTTATATAACAATTTATACACATCAAAACCTACATTTATATATGAGATTTCAAAGAAAAATCCATATATACATTTATATATCCATTTATACACAACAAAACCTATGATTGTATATGAGATTTCAAAGGAAAATCCATATATACATTTATATATCCATTTATACACAACAAAACCTACATTTATATATGTAGATACCGATGGAAAATCAATATATACATTTATATAACAATTTATACACATCAAAACCTACATTTATATATGAGATTTCAAAGAAAAATCCATATATACATTTATATATCCATTTATACACAACAAAACCTATGATTATATATGAGATTTCAAAGGAAAATCCATATATACATTTATATAACCATTTATACACAACAAAACCTACATTTATATATGAGATTCTGATGGAAAATCAATATAAACATTTATATATCCATTTATACACAACAAAACCTACTTTTATATATGAGATTCCGATGGAAAATCAATATATACATTTATATATACATTTATACACAACAAAACCTACATTTATATATGAGATTCCGATGGAAAATCAATATATACATTTATATATCCATTTATACACAACAAAACCTACTTTTATATATGAGATTCCGATGGAAAATCAATATATACATTTATATATCTATTTATACACATCAAAACCTACATTTATATATGAGATTCCGATGGAAAATCAATATATACATTTATATATCCATTTATACACAACAAAACCTATGATTATTTATGAGATTTCAAAGAAAAATTCATATATACATTTATATGCAACAAAAACGTTCAGGCAAGTCTAAATGCATTCTGGAGAGTGTAAGAAAATTCAGATAAGTCTAAATGCAGTCTTGAAACATTGAGGTAAGTCTAAAAATGTTCTAGACAGTCTAAAAACATTCAAGTAAGTCTAAATGCGTTCTGGACTTCATTCATGGTTCATCTTAAATCATACTACATCAATTTATTCACCTTCCTATATTATCATCTTTCTATTAACATTTTTAGCTATCTATTTATAAATCTATTTTTTTTTTATCTTTACCCATCTACCTTTATACAAATCAATATTCAATTATCCTTTATCCAAAAATTGGGTGGAAGGTAATTAAAGTTTAAACACCAAATTGAATAAAATTTTAAATGTATTTTTCAAAATCTTTGTAACAGAAATATATTGTACTATTAATATCAAATTAATCAGATCTTAAATTTAATACTATCTTACATTATTATAAAAACTTATAACAAAGAAGTTCTTCTCATAATATAAGTAAAGACTTTTATTTTCATCACAAAATCTTAAAATACTAATAATGAGCATTAATAACGTAAAAAGTAGATAAAAATACTTGAACCATATCATTCGTCGAGATTTATGTAAATAATCTAACCACTCACTTTGGTTTTTCTTAATGCATAAAAGATGCCGGGAAACGAAGTTCCATAGCTGCATAAATTGCGTTGAGTTCAGAATTTAATTCGTCATCTGAAGAGATGATGCTGGTGTCACTGTAAAAACAGGAAACATTGATTGGAACTAATTCAATTTCCATCCACTTCCACATTAAAAAAATGTAACTTCTAAAATATTCTGTCTGATGTATAATAGTAACCCTACAAACTATAAATTTGAACTCCTACTTACGAATCATCATCAACAACAATAATTGAATTTGACGAGACGTAGCTAGTAGTAGAAGTAGTTGTCCTAGGAGCGGTTCTTGCATAAACTCTTGTCCGTCTACGTCTATTTGTACTACCGGATCTGGAGGGTTTCTTTTTGGGCTCTAAAGATTTCTCTATTTCTGCAAGTAATAAAAGCAAAATAATATATATATATATATATATATATATATATATTTATATTTATATTTATATATAAATATATATATATATATATTATTACCATCACTTACCAATTCTATCCTTTATCAATTGTTCTCTAGTCCGTTTATTTTCATCAGACCCATTTGCATAAAACGAATTAATAATATTATCCACAAGCAACAAGGGGACTTCTGCAGTAATTTTGGTCCTGCAAATAGGACAAATCTTCTTAGTCTGCTTCCATCGGACGATGCAGGATTTGCAGAAGGCATGAGAACAATTCAATGCAATTGTTTTTACAAACATCTCATTACAAATTGCACAAGTCGTTTCCTCCTCACAATCCTGGTGAAATTTTTTACTTCTTGGTGATGAATTGTTCTAGAAAGAGGAAATAGAAGTATTAGTAACCAGAATTAATCATCTGATCATTTATCCTTACCTCTTTCTCGACAACTGTTTCATCTAAACTAGCAGCACTCCTCTTTTTCTTTTCAGCTTTCTTTTTGCTGGTTTTAGGTTTGAAGAATTCGTAGATGTAGTTTTCAGGAATTCGCACTTTGTCACCATTTTGAAGCAATTGCGGAGTGTTCTTTTTAAGTAGAACATCGTTCACGTATGTGCCCCCCGTACTTATGTCTTTGACGGTCCATTGATCTTTTGGTTTGTCATGTTCTATGATGCAATGATATCTTGATACGACTACATCAGGTATTACGTGGTTGTTGGAGAGATCTCTTCCTATTGTGAACTGAAAGATAAAATAATAATTGATAAGTAGATAGAAATTTACTTGGTTATTAATTTAGAGCATACAAAGTGTATGTGCCACTTTGCACTAGGGTTTTTAAGCAAAATTTAGCAAAACTTTTGACACATAACCTGTAAACAAATCAATTGAAAGCAAGTATTGTATCCTTTATCATTTACCTCGCAATTCTCCAACGTAAACTTCTGATTCCCAGTTAACAAATAAGGTTGTTCATCAGCTTCTTGGTTAATTCTCGGCCGTTTAGGCGAACTGCTTTTGGAGGCCATTGAGTAGATTTAAAACAGGACCAGCACTTATTTTAACTCTACCAAATCAATTACATCAAAAACATTAAAACCTTTTTTTGTTTTTTTTATGAACTGATCGCTTTTCAACCCACGTTTATTCAATTAATGATTATTAAAAAGAAATAAACATTTGACATACGATCCGTCGATTAAATACAAACGTAGACGCAGATTGACCAATGACACACAGCACTGAAGTTGCAGCGAAAACTGTCAAAAAGGCAAAAGACGGAGAGCTGAAAGGCTAAATGATTATATTTATTCATGGTACATTTAAATTTTGTTTTAAATTTGTGATTTTGAGACAATTTATTGAACTAGTAATATTATTAGTAAAATTTTGAATATATTGCAATTAAAATATCAATTATTATTATCTTTACATATGTGTATGATATAATACAATACAAAATATTTTTATTTATTTATTTATTTATTTATTTATTTACATATTATTTTTATATCTCAGTAAGACAGGGGTATCTGGTATGAGAGATTATGAAACAATTTTCTTATTTCATATTTACATATCATTTGTCTATTTCATTATACTACAATATAATATTTATTAAAATTAAAATATCTATTCAATCTTTAATTTCCTCATAATATTTCTTTATTTTTGAAGTAAAACTTCTTTAGGCGCGATATGGGTGTAAAAATTTCTTTAGGCTACACGGGTGTAAATCCGTACAAATGCAACGAAAACGCCAACGTGTAGTTGAACACTACGACGCCGTAAGCGCTGATGTCGCGAGTATCCACTCCCGTCATGTCATGCGTAAGTCGAGCGCTAAACCCGCTAAACCCTATATGAACTTGCATTAATTGAATCACGTTTTTTTACAAAAGAAGAGGTTGCTGTATTATGTCCTCATGGAATAAGACTTTTCTTAGAGAATAAATGTGTCATGGAATATAATAAATTTATACTGAATCTCGTTGAAGACAAAATAAAATCTACTGCCACGGATATTTATGTAGGTTGCCATGCGACAGATCAACAATCATACATTCGTCAGCAGTTTCAAAAAAATCGGTTATTGATACCGGGGCTTTGCCGTATGAAATAATTTTAGTTCTGAATAAATTTTTACATAATAACAACTAATATTGATGTAAGTGATGGCTTAGCTAATGGTTGTGTGGGAAAATTAGTGTACATAGAACGTGGCGATAATGATGAACTTCTACGTTTATGGTTCGAAATTCCCGGTAAGATAGGTAACAAAATTAGGAAGAAAGCTTCACATCATATTCAAACTCTTAATATCAGTAGGACAGCTGTGCCGATTCTCAGGAAATCTTCATCTATTCCAATGAATAGAAATAAAATCATATTTGTCAAAAGAAATCATTTTCCTTTAGTGTCTGCTTGTGCACTCACAATACACAAATCACAAGGTGGTACTTTTGATAAAATTGTATATGAATACAATAAAACACATAATCAGCAGCTTCTATATGTTGCATTATCACGAGTTACCAGCATTAATGGATTGTTCATCATTTCTAAAACAACGACAAAAAATTTTATATGGAAGAAAACGGCCAGCAGGATTAATGGACTTAAAAACTGAATTCCAAAGACTTTCAACTTGTAGATTAATAACACAAGAAGAAAAAATGAGTGAGATAATAAGTTTGAACGACATTTCATTGTTTTCCTTTAACTGCCAAAGTTTACGAGCTCATTTGCCTGATCTGCAAGATAAAGTGCTACAACGTTGTACGTTTTTGTTATTTTCGGAAACTTGGATTAATAATGAAGAACGAATTAATATTCAGAACTATTACTGCGTTACTCAATACAAACGATCAAACTCAAGAGCAGGTGGTGTAGCTGTCTAATGTCTATCATTCATGTTCAGATACTGTTCATAATGCCACTCCTATGCAGTTTCTTGCGCCAACGATATTACTGGATATTCCTAATGAAATTACACAAGTAGGTGATATAACACACACAGAATCAAACATTAATTATAGTCATCCTTTAAATTTCTCCCAATAAAAACATATAAAATATTATTGAATTTCTTCATCAGCAGTTACTTCATTTTTCTAATGAGGGTGCAAAACTTTTAAACACTAACCACAACGAGATACCATTAATTCTTGCTGGAGATTTCAATGTCAATTTTCGTTCAGAAGAATCTCAACCATTAATTGATTTTTTAAATAATAAATTCAATTTAACAATGAATAATTCTCCATTTGATTCAACCACAAGATATGGCTCGACTATTGATGCAGTTTTCTCCAGAAATGTACATAGTTTACAAAGCAAAATTTATGTCACTCATTTTAGTTATCACAAACCTATTATATCATATATGAAATATGATAGCAATTAATCTATCGTTGTTGTTTTAAACTGTGTTATTGATGTTATGTGATTATTAATAAATAATTTTTAAAATTCAAATATGATGTTTTTTTATTTTTATCTTAATTGTCTACTCATACAATATTAAAAGTTTTACTTCAATCGCGTGTGATCCTTACGCGCACTCTTTTTTTATTTTGATGTATGTTTTGATATTCTTTCTTTTATTTGAAATATGATGTAATTAATTTAAATAAACAAATTGATATGCTAAAAAACTTCAAAATTTTTAGCATATCAATAAACTAGTGGTGTATGGCATCGTGCCTTGAGGCAAATTGCTGAAAATTTTCTCACCGAAATAAAATTTTGTAAATCTGAATTATTTTCGTTATTCAAAAAAATTTTATTTTGAAAATTAAAAAAATTAAAAAAATATTGTAAACAGACCAAAAACGTTTAGGCTGATCTAATAATGTTGTAAACAGTCTAAAAACGTTCAAGTTGGTCTAAAGATATTGTAGACGGCCTAAAAAACGTTCTGGATGACCCAAAATTGTTGTAAACAGCCTAAAAATGTTTAGATTGATTTAAAAATGTTGTAAATAGCCTAAAACGTTCAAATTTGTCTAAAAATGTTGTGGACGGCCTAAAAACGTTCAGGTTTGTCTAGAAATGTTGTAAGCAGCCTAAAAACATTCAATTTTGTCTAAAAATGTTGTGGATGACCTAAAAAACCTTCTGAATGACCCAAAAATTTTGTAAAAAGTCTAAAAATATTCAGACTAATCTAAAAATGTTGTAAACAGTCTAAAAACGTTCAGGCTGCTCTATAAATGTTGTAAAAAATTTAAAGACGTTCAGGATGAACTAAAAATATTGTAGACGGCCAAAAAACGTTCAGACTGATCTAAAAATATTGTAAACCGTCTAAAAAACCTTCTGGATGACCCAAAAATGTTGTAAACAGCCTAAAAACGTTCAGGCTGATCTAACAATGTTGTAAACAGTCTAAAAACGTTCAGGTTTGTCTAAAAATGTTGTGGACGACCTAAAAAACCTTCTGGATGCCCCAAAAATGTTGTAAACAGTCTAAAAACTTTCAAACTGATCTTAAAATATTGTAAACTGCCTAAAATCGTTTAGGCTGATCTAACAATGTTGTAAACAGCCTAAAAACTTTCAAACTGATCTAAAAATGTTGTAAACAGTCTGAAAACTTTAAGTTAGTCTAAAAATGTTGTAAACAGTCTAAAAACGTTCGGATTTATCTAAAAATGTTGTAAAAAATCTAAAAACGTTCAGGTTGATCTAAAAATATTGTACACAGTCTAAAAATGTTCAAACTGATCTAAAAATATTGTAAAACCGTCTAAAAAACCTTCTGGATAACCCAAAAATGTTGTAGGCAGCCAAAAAACGTTGTGGTCGATCTAAAAATTTTCTGGATGGCCTAAAAATGTTGTGGTCGGTCTAAAAACGTTAAGGTTGGTTTAAGAATGAAATTAAAAAAAATATAAATTTTTTTCCAAAAATATTTGTTTGGTCAACACAAGAAAAAAGATTTTTGAATCATTAAACATTGCCATTTTTGCACTTTTTGCTCCGTATTTAAAAAACGGCTGCATCTGCCTTTGTTAAAAACTAATAACCACTTTTTCCCGTCATTACTAATTGAATGTTTTTTGGATCATACAAATCGGATGATCCGTTCTCAAAAAAAAACTTTATTTCTATTATCTGCACTCTTTGCTCCATATCTCCGTAACGGCTGGACCTGCCTTTGCCAAAAACTAATCAGCTCATCTCCGTATCAATAGAAATCGAATGGTAAATGACTCATTTAAATCGGTTGATTCGTTGTCTCAAAAATTTGTATCCGCACACACACACACACATACATGCATTTTTTCTAAGGTATGCCTTAAAATGTTCAGGACGTTTTAAAACATAAAGATATATAAAAATTTTCATTTTCGATTTTCGGTCCATTACTATAACTACCCTAAGGAAAGTTAAATAAATTTAAACGAGACTTTTCCTACAAATTTGACACCGACTCTCCCACTACTCTCGTTTCTGTCACATCCAACGATATGACACACACAATCGTTTTCCTTCCAAACCCTCCACACCGAATGCAAACCCCAAAAACCATTTTATACATATACATTTTATTTTTATACATATACATTTATTAAAACAAACCCCATCAACCCTTCCGACAAACCACAACAATTAAAAAACAAATTCCATTAATCCGCCATCCCAGTCGGCCATGTTCAAATCAAATCTCTAGTCTTGCACTTGCACCAACTTTAGACTTGTGTTGTAAATGATAAATGGCATTTGATGATACAACGCAAAAGCAAATTGTGAATTAAAATCGTTTGTTAATTAATCGTAGTGTCCGAGGTGATTAATCGTAAGTTTATTTATATTTATAATACTGTGAGAAAATGTCAGATTGGGATCAAGTGACTGTTCTGCGCAAAAAGGCTCCGAAGGCATCCGCTATGAAAACGGAGTCTGCGGTGAACGCGGCCCGAAGACAAGGGGTCGCCGTCGAAACCCAACAAAAATGTAAGATAATAATAATAATAATAATAATAATAATAATTGATAAATGATAAGTAATAATTGATTTATGATGTTTTTATGTGGGTTGCACATGGTCGGTCCAAGTGCACTTTATTTACTTTGACATGTTCATTTTGCGATTCAAAAAAAGCATAAATATGTGTCTCGAGTCGCTTTTTACGTTTAAATAAAATCAGCATATTAAAGGGTGTAAATTAAAAGATTTTTTTCCCTATAATGATACCACATACTTATGTTTTTGTTTGTAGATACTTTTCTTGAGACATGAACATAACCTCAATATAATGAAAATTAGTTCTTCCTACATTATATATATATACTAGCTGACCCGATAAACGTTGTTTTGCTAAGTAAGGTATATTCTAAACAATTTCTAGAGAATCAAAAATATTATCACTTTTAAGTGTATAAGGATGTGTCGTCTGAATGCTATATACAATGAGGTATTATAAACTCCAATAGTTTGTCTATATTTTGTCAACTGGAAGTTTTATGCACGTTCTATAGAAGACATGGTATAATCCATTGCAAGTCTTTTTTGGTCTTTCGACTTATGGATTACGTTTCAAGTTTTTCAGATTCTTTTTGGATTCTGGATTTCATGTATAATTGTAAATAATACTACTGAACTTATACGTAATTTTCAAATTTCTGCGAGGAGAGATAGAAAATGAATCAAGTATTTCTTCTTTGACCTGCTTTTTGAAAAGTTTCAAGTTACATTCGATCAATTAAAGTAAATTTAATAAAAAGTATATATGTAGAGCAGGGCGAGACACAAAGGTCCAATTTGACTCTGAGCAAATATTAATTATATTATAATAATCAAACCGATTATATCACAACAAATAACACATTTCAAACGAACAATTATCTGACTACGTTCAGTAAAACTGACTTCTACTTCATCATTGAAAAAATGTGCTTTCTTGCTGTCTTTCAAAAATTTGTTATCTAGACTTTTTACCCTATAGGCGGGGTAAATTGAAACAGCCAGGTGGCAAACAGGTTTAATGTCTTATTTTAATTTTAAAGGTATTTTACAAAATAACTACACTTTTATCTAATGCTAAAAAACTACCAACGGAAGACCATACTTTTATTATGGATTTTAAAAGATTACAATTTATCTCCCAATATAAAAGTCATAACAATCAGGGTTATAGCTGGTTATACATCTTTTTCCCTCTACTTTCAAATATTGTTGTTAAACAATGCTTAACTTTACTGGTTTTTGACACTTTGGTCGTGGAACTTTTAACCCTGGACCTTCATATATTACTATCTATTCTTCGATAAGTTCTGGAAAATTATAACTGGGAAAATGTTATTCCACAAAAGAGAGTCTAATGAAAAAGCTTCCCATTTTTATTTTTTCAGGAAATGTTGCTAAATCTGAATTCTCGATGATCTATTATTTTAAAAAGTCACTATAAAAAAGGGACTGTACTGACGAGCAAATTTGTAATCAACTTAGAGGACTCTACTGACTAGCAAATTGAATTTCAAACATAGAAAATAAAAAGAATACCCTACAGACAAGCAACTTAAATATTGTTTTATATGATAAAGAAAGGCGAGCAAATTAATTTTAGCAATTTATGAGATAAAGAAAGGACTCTACTGACGAGCAAATTAAATATCAATCTAGAAATTTAGGAAAGAACTCTACTGACGAGCAAATTTCTAGAGAAATATTTATGAGCTTATATTTTACTGTAATTAATTTGTTAAACATAATTTGTTTAACATAATAAATCTAGCTTCTTATTCAAAATATAAATGTAAGAAAATAAAGAAAGGACTCTACTGCCGAGCAAATTAATAAAATTACAAAAAAGGACTCTGCTGACGAGCAAATTAAATATCGATCTAGAAAATTAAGAAAGAACTCTACAGACGAGCAAATTATTAATGTAGAGAAACATTTTTTTGCATTTGTATACTACTGTAATTAATTCGACAAATGTAATTTGTTTAATATAATAAATTTAATTCCTCATTCAAAATATAAATGTAAGAAAATAAAGGACTCTACTGACGAGCAAATTAATAAAATTACAAAAAAGGACTCTACTGACGAGCAAATTAAATATCGATCTAGAAAATTAAGAAAGAACTCTACTGACAAGCAAATTATTAATCTAGAGAAATATGGTTTTAGCTTTGCATTTTACTTTAGTTAAAATTCAATGAAAATAATTTGTTTAGTATAATGAGTCTAATGTGATTCTTTATACAAATTATAAATATAAAAAAATAAAGAAAGAAATCTACTGACAAGCAAATTAAATATTGTTTTATATGATAAGGAAAGGACTCTACTGCTAATGTTAGGTCACCCAATATTAATTTCTATATCTCGTTTCCAGTCGGTGGTGGATCCAACAAGCAACACGTGACAACTAAAAATACTGCCAAACTCGACAGAGAGACCGAAGAACTGAAGCACGAGAAAATATCACTCGACCTGGGCAAACTGATTATGCAGGGCAGACAGGCGAAGGGAATGAGCCAGAAGGATCTAGCAACCGTAAATAGAAAACCAACCTTTATCCTCAAACATACATACATACACTAATCATGTATCTTTTATCATTAGAAAATTTGCGAGAAGCCCCAAATCGTGAACGACTACGAAGCGGGCCGAGGCATTCCCAACAACCTCGTCATTGGGAAGATCGAGAAGGCCATTGGCCTAAAATTGCGTGGAAAGGATCGCGGCAAACCGCTGTTGCCTCCTGAGCCCAAAAAGTAAATCGACGTCAGGAGGCAGTGATAACATAATTAATTGTAGTAAATTAACTACACACACTTCTACATGATGATTATATGAAAATTGTTTTGTTTGTGACGAAATTTTAAAAAATCTCTTTTCTTTTGTTAGTTATTTCTATATGATCATGATGATATTGATGCATTTGGATGATGACCCAAAGGGGGCTCTTTGTCGTTGCAATAATAAAAATGAGATGGAAATGTACCAAGTTTATATAGAAATTGTGTGGTTTTATTTAATAGATTGTTTATAGTACAGCACTGATGCATCATGATAGAGTTTATGATCTTTAAGGGGGTTGTTCGTTTTTTTGTTACAAAAAATGCAAGGTATTTGTTTTTGTTTTTCTCGAAATGTATTCATCATAGAGACATGCGGTTTTTTTAAACAAAAATTACAAAATTATAGAATATTAAGAAATTTTATTTTTTTTTTGTCGCCGTCATTTGTTAACCAGGGGGCGCCAAAGTGGGCATTGCAAAATCGATCTCTTTAGTTTAGAAGAAGAAGTTTAAATCCAGTCCCCCTACCAAAATGAAAAAAAAAGCAAGAAGGGAAAAAATGGCAGCTGTTTTTTAAAAAAAGTGTTAAAAAGGGCCTTTTTTTGGGACAAAAAGCTTCGCAAAATTTTTTTACGTTATGTTATGAAGTTGTTTGAGGTAGGGGGACTGGGTATTGCAGTGGTGAATAAATTTAAAAAAAAATGCAACGACTTGTAGTTTTTTTTTAATTTGTGGCACCGCATTGAAAAAAGTCAATTTGAGAAAAACGTATTTAAAGTTTTTAATATAATGTACTAAATACACCATTTAATTTAATGTACTAAATACATCATAGTGTTCAAAGATGCTGACACATTAAAAAGGTCATGTGCATGAGGTATTGTAATGAAAAAGAGAGCAGCTGGCATACAATAGCTCCGTAGCGATGAAAAAAACGGTTTCAGAGGATCATACGTATAGAGATATATATATCTATAACTTCGTCAAAAAAATAGATATTAAGAAGATTTTCATAATGTTGTATATTGTCTAAAAATGTTCTAAATTGTCCCAGAACATTGTATGTTGTCTGAGTATGTTGTAAGTTATCTGAAAATGTTGTATGTTGTCTCAGAATGTTGTATACGTCTGAAAACATTATGAATTGTCCCAGAACATTGTATGTTGCCTCAGAATGTTGTAAATGTTCTAAGAATGTTGTAAGTTGTCTGAAAATATTGTAAATGACTTCAAAATATTGTCTAGGAATGTTGTAAGTTGTCTAAAAATGTTTTATGCTGTCTCAGAATGTTGTAAACTGTCTGAAAATATTTTGGAAAGTTGTCTGAAAATGTTCTAAATTGTCTCAGAATGTTATAGATGATGTGAAAATGTTGTATGTTGCAGGATTGTCTCAGAATGTTGTAAGTGCATGAAAGTATTCTTAAAAGTTAAATTTATATAGGTTGTTGAATGTGTTATTTTTTGAGAAAGTTGTATAGTGCCTGAAAATGTTACAGACTATCTCTGAAATTGTAGATTATTTCAGAATGTTCTAAATTGTCCTAGAACATTGTATGTTGTATGAGAGTGTTGTATATTGTCTAAAACTGTTGTAGATGATCTAAGAATGTTTATGGACTTAATATGTTATTGTATATTGTACAAGAATGTTATAAGTTGTCTGAAAATGTTCTAAATTGTACCACAACATTGTCCCATACTGTTGTAAGTTGTTTGAAAATGTTGTAGATGATCCAAGAATGTTGTATATTGTCTGAATATGTCGTCTTAGAATGTTGCAAACTGTCTAAAAGTGTTTTGAAAAGTTATCTAAAAATATTCTAAACTATCTCGGAATGTTGTGTGTTGTTTTCAAATGTTGTAAGTTAACTGAAAATATAGTAGATGATCTAAAAATGTTGTATGTTGTAAACTGTCTGAAAATGTTTTGAAAAGTTGTCTAAAAATGTTCCAAAGTGCCTCAGAATGTTGTATATTGTCTCAGAGTGTTGAATGTTGTCTCAAAATATTGTAGATTGTTTCAGAATGTTGTATGTTATCTCGGAATGTTGTAGATCACATAAAAATATTGTAGGTTGTCCCAGAATGTTGCCAACTGTCTGAAAGTGTTCTGAAAAGTTATCTGAAAGTAACCTAAATTGTCTCAGAATGTTGTGTTACCTCAGAATGTTGTAGGTTGTTTCAGAATGTTGTTGATTATTTTAGAATGTTGTATGTTGTTTCAAAATGTTGCAGAACTATCTCAGTATGTTGCAAATTGTTTGAAAATGTTCTAAATTATCTCAGAATGTTGCAGGTCGCTTAAAAATGTTTGTAAATTGCCTGAATATGTTGTATATGGTTCAAAAATGTTGTATATTGCCTGAAAATGTTGCAGGATGTCTCAGAATTTTCTAGATCATTTTAGAATATTGTCTAAGCATGTTGTAGAATTTTGCAAACAGTCTGAAAGTGTTCTGAAAAGTTATCTGAAAATGTTCTAAATTGTCTCAGTATGTTGTAAATTGTTTTAGAATGTTGTAGATTATCTTAGAATGTTGTAGGTTGTTTCAGAATGCTGTATGACAATGTTGTGTATGACCTAAGAATGTTGTAAATTGTCTAAAAATGTTGTACATAATCTAAGATTTGTTGTATGCTGTATAAAATGTTGTGCATTGTCTCAGACTATTGCAGGGTTGTCTCAGAATGTTATAAACCGTCTGAAAGTGTTCTGAAAAGTTGTTAAATTGTACCAGAATTTTGTAGGCTGTTTCAGAATGTTGTATGTTATCTCAGAACGTTGAATGGTTGTTTAAAAATGTTTGTAAGTTGTTTGAATATGTTGTATTATTTTTTTAAAATGTTGTATATTGCCTGAAAATGTTGTAGAATATTTCAGAATGCTGTAAGTCGTTTAAAAATGTTGCAGTTCATATAAATATGGTGTGAATTGCCTGAATATGTTGTATATGGTTCAAAAATTTTGTATATTGCCTGAAAATGTTGCAGGATGTCTCAGAATTTTCTAGATCATTTCAGAATATTGTCTAAGCATGTTGTAGAATGTTGAAAACAGTCTAAAAGTGTTCTGAAAATGTTGTAAATGATCTCAGAATGTTGTAGATGATCTAAGAATGTTGTAAGTTGTCCTAGAATGTTGCAAACTGTCTGAAAGTATTTTCAAACGTTAGATGAAAATACACCTAAGTCTGTTTTTACACGGAGATTGGTTTCAGAAAAAAACGTGTAAAAAAAGACATTGATCTTATACAAAAATGGGTGATTTGTTCCTAATATCTAAATATCTATTAAAATTAGTGAAAAACAAGAATTTTCAGGGTATTCCCCTAAATGAGTGCTGTTCATATTTGCTTTGACCAGTAAAAATTGTTTGTACGCGCTAAAGGAGAATTCACTTAAATCTTAAAGCCAGTTTGCGAACATATCGATACTATCGATGGTTTCGGACTTTTTTCTTTCATAAATACTTTTTTGTGATATGAACATACTTCGCAAAAATCAAATTTGACAAAAAAATTTAAGTACATACAATTTCAAATCGTGCTAAATGTAATAAAATCGTGTAAAAACATTAAAAATATTCAATTTTCAAACCGTGTTATATCAAAACCGTGTACAAAAAGACCGTGTAAAAACAGACTTAGGTGTATTTTAAATTGTCTCAGAATGCTGTGTGTTATCTGATAATGTTGTAGAGGTTGTTTCATAATATTGTATATTCTATTTGAAAGCTGTATATTATCGGATAATGTTATAAGTTGTTCCAGAATATTCTAAACAGTCTGAAAGTTGTCTGAAAATGTTCTAAATTCAGAATGTTGCAGGTTGTTTCGGAGTGTTGTATTGTCCCAGAATTTTGTAGATTGTTTCAGAATGTTGTGGATTATCTGGGAATGTTGTGGATGATTTAAGAATGTTGTGCATTGTCTCAGAATGTTGTCGGTTATCTGAAAATATTGTAAAAAATCTAAGAATGTTGTATGTTGTCTAAGTATGTTGTAAGTTATTTGAAAATGTTGCAGATAATCAAGCAATGTTGTATATTGCTTGAAAATATTGTATACTGTTCCAGAATGTTGTAGGCTGTCTCACAATGTTGTATATTGTCTGAGAATGTTGTATGTTATTTGAAATTATTCTAGATTGTCCCAGAAAATTGTATGTTGTTTAAAAATGTTTTGAAAATGTTCAAAATTAAGAATTCACAATGTTATATGTTGTTTTTGAATGTTGTATGGTCCCAGAATTTTGTAGGTTGTTTCAGAATGCTGTATGTTATCCCAGAATGTTGTGGATGATCTGGTAATGTTGTGGATGATCTAAAAATGTTGTAAATTGTCTAAAAATGTTGTACATGATCTAAGAATAATTGTTGTACGTTGTATAAAATCTTGTGCATTGTCTCAATGTTGTTGGTTGTCTGAAAATATTGTAAAAGATCTAAGAATGTTGTATGTTGTCTCAGAAAGTTGAAAGTTATCTGAAAATATTCTGAAGTTCTGAATGAGCATCTGAAAATGTTCTAAATTGTCCCAGAACATTGTATGTTGTTTAAAAATGTTGTATGTTGTCTGGAAATGTATATATGATTTAAGAATGTTGTAGGTTGTCTGAAAATTTTGTAAATGATCTAAAAGTGTTGTAAGTTGTCTGAAAATGTTGTGAATGACCTGAGTATGTAATGTGTTATCTCATAATGTTGTGAATTGTCCCAGAATGTTGTCGGTTGTTTAAAAATGTTTGTAAGTTGTCTGAATATGTTGTATGTTGTTGAAGAATGTTATAAGTTGTCTGAATATATTGTATGTTATCTCAGTAGGTTGTAGATGTTCTAACAGTGTTGTATATTATTTAAAAATATTGGATACTGTTCCAGAATGTTGTATATGTTGTCTCAGAATGTTGTAGATGACCTAAGAATGTTGTAACTGCCTGAAAATGTTTTGAAAAGTTGACTGAAAATGTTCTAAAATTGTTGTAAGTGGTCCTAGAATGTTGCAAACTGTCTGAAAATGTTATGAAAAGTTAGCAAAAAATGTTCTAAATTGCTTCAGTATGTTGTAAATTGTTTTAGAATGTTGTAAATTGTCCCAGAACATTGTATGTTCTCTAAGAATGTTGTGAATTGTCTCAAATTGTTGCAAGTTTGCATCTAAAGAGTTGAAGTTTGCATTAAAATCCTGTGAATCGCCTGAACATGTGCTGAATTATCTAAACATGCTATAAATTGCCTAAAAATGTTGTAAAATACCTAAAAATATTGTAGATTGTCCAAAAATGATACCAAATCAAAATAGTTTGATATTCACCTTTACTAAAATGCTCAAATTAAAAACGCACAAACTTTATTCATCCATTACATATCATCTTATTATAAAACCTATCTCTCCTCAACTCGAACTTCTCCTCCACGATACCCTCTTTGGTAATGATCTTAATCAAATATCCCATCGCCCGTATTAAAGTATCTCTCTCTGCAGCCGATACAAAAACATCTTTAATAATAATCAAAGCCTTCTCTTTCGGTATGGGCGCCGGCGTAATATTCTGCATATTCTTAAAACCCAGCTGATTATCAAGCAGGGGCTGCAGCAGAGCCCCAGCAGACCCTCCAGCTCTGAACATCGACTTCTCACAATGCCCTACCGGATCGTAACTGAAAACACACCCTCTGCCTTGGGAATCCAAACCGGCCAGGACATTCGAGACATAGTAAGGGAAGAATCTGCGATAGTACATCATGGTGGATAACATTTGGGCGACTGCTGGGGTGCTCATTGGTTTATTGTGATCGTGTTCGTACATTTTCATACGGGCTTCGATCATGCTGGTGAGGGCTAGGGTGTCGCACCAGCAGCCGGTGGCACCGAGGACTGTTGTGCCGGAGAGGGTGAAGAGTTTCTTTTGTTCGCGGGTGAAGATTGAGAAACCGGAACTTAGACGGGTATCGGCGGCTATTATTACGTAGTCCTCGCCTGCTATGGCTACGATACTCCTGGAAAAAGACACAGGGGATAGTTGATAATGAACTAATAACTAATTGAAACTTAAGTTGCTGAATAATAAATCAGAATTGTGCTATAAAGAACACTACCTTGCATAGTGTTCATCGTAAGATGTATATATTAGCTAGGTCTGGTACCCAAAATCATGAATTTACAAAAGAAACCAGTGAGACTGATGAAAATAGATACTATTAATCTAATAATCTTCTATAAATCATTTTTTATAACACTAATATTTATACTTGTGTGACGCAAATTGAATATTAATTTCTATCTATCTATCTAAAAATGATTTTCATACCCTCCATTGTCCGAATAAGGGCTGAAATGTTGTTTCTTAGCCCCCGGCGTTTCGTAATCAGGTAGTCCACCAACTAAAGCCATTATTTAACTTATTATTATTAATATTATTAATAAAAATAACACAGATTTGTTTGAAATTGAGGTTAAAGCAAATGACAACGCTATTTCAGTTCGTCAATGATACAAGATGTCAGATGTCATGGATTAGTGTTGCCAGAGGCGAGTATTTCAAATTTCAAATGTACTGTCAAGTATGGCCGGTAATCTCCGAACAAAAGTCAAAACTAGTTGGTGTTGGTATTTAGCCTTGAGGCAAGTTACATGAATTTTCCGATATGTTTAAATAATCGACTTAATCAATGAAAAATAAATTAATTTATGAGTCATTAAAAGTATTCCGAGTGGATTTATTACACATAATTGAAACGAACGAACACGTTAACTCGGAGTATTTTCTAAAAGCAAATTTTCAAAAATCAATAATTTTTATAATTGAGCCAGTTTTTTGTAGGATTTTAATTGTTTAACATGTTCATTAATACCAAGTACTCTATTGTTATACCAAGTAAATTGTCTAATTTTAAATTTAACAAATGTCAAAAGAACTACTCATTTTTTCAAACTTTGATGAATTTTTAAAATTAAACTACTTGTCGTTAGGCCGTAATATTTCAGTAAGTTCTATAAGACCGTGATATATATCGCCAAAACAAGTGCCATAAAAATAGGCTTACATTTTTTTTCAACAGTTAATTAAAAGAAAACGGCTCGGTAGATTTTCACCTAAAACTAATCAGTACCATTCCCAACTAATATCTTTCGAACAGTTTTTGATTTTTTAAAATCGATAAACGTGGACAAGTTTAACACTTTTCCAAATTACAAAGAAACGGCTCGGCAGACCGTCTCACAAAACTGACAAACTATAGTGCTCATTGAGATACATCAAGTGGCTTTTAAATTTTTGAAATCCGTTCAGGCGTTCTTGAGAAAACATCGATGAAAAGTCTAATTTTGACAAATGCCAAAAAACAATACCAATTTTTGCAAACTTTGAAGAATTTTTAAAGCTGAACCAGTTGTCGTAGGGCCGTAATATTAACTTCCCGTAGGATAGTTATAGTAATGGGCCGAAAATCGAAAATAATTTTTTTTGCATTTCTCGACGTTTTGAAGGTTTCTGAACATTTTACGGCAGACCTCAGAAAACTAATAGATGTGTGTGTGTGTGTTTTGTAGGTCCACATTTTTTCATCCACGTTTTCGGGCGCACGGATCAACCGATTTGAATGGTTTAAAAAACATTCGAGTTCTATTGATAGGGAGATGTGCTGATTAGTTTTTGGCAAAGGCAGGTCAAGCCGTTTCGAAGATACAGAGCAAAGAATGCAGAAAATAGAAATCGATTTTTTGAGAGAACGGAGTATCGGATTTGAATGATCTAAAAAACATTCAATTTGTAATGATTGGGAGAAGAGGTGATTAGTTTTTGGCAAAGACAGGTCCCGCCATTTCGAAGATACAGAGCTAAATGTGCAAAAAATGGCAGTTTTTGAGAGAACTAAGCGTCCGATTTAAATGATCCCAAGAACTTTCTGCTTATTTCAACAAAATAGTTGCTTTGGAAAAAAAAATTGTTTCTAATTTCTTTTCTCAAAAAATATTTTTGTAATTTGGGATTAAAAATTCGAATCAAAAAAATACCCAAACTAAGCACAGTCTAAGCGCCACTCTGGTACAAATGTTTACCCGAGTGCGTTTAGACTGTTTGTGTACTGGAGAACTTTTCCAATTTTGTGAAAACTATTAAAAGAAAAATGTGAAAATGTCGCCAAGCTAAGCACAGTATAAGTGAAAATGTCGAACAGAATTATTTGCAAGTGCGTTTAGACTGTGAGTATACGGGAGCAATTTTTCAATTTTGTGCAAATTAGGCAACTATTTTTTTTTAAATTGAATTCGAAATGAAATGACATTTGTTAATGTGTCTGGAGATAAATTCTGGAGATTTATGATTTACATTTGATTTGCTCAGATATAACAAGATAGCAAAAATAATGAAAGTTACAGTATTTGTATTAACGTTTAAAATTTCTCGAATATTTCATTACGGTACGGGAAGTTCCAGCAATTTGCCTTAAGACACAATGCCATACACCACTAGTTCTTGTATAAATGAACAAGAAAATGGAATGAAGCTAGAAGTTAAATAGAATTAGAAATTTGAAAAAAAAAGAGCAAAAATTAAAGAAAATAAGAAGAAAAATGAAAAATATAGATTAGGATAGATATATAGATTGAAAATGATATAAAAATTTGAATGTAAATAAATAAAATAAATAAATAAATCCAATCCAGCAATATACGATCTAGTCCCTAGTGCGCACGCCATACCGAATCTAGTCCTCATGTCGTTTGTATAAAACTAGTTCGAGCGGCGCTCACGTACGCACTTCGTGTTAAACTTTCACGCGAGACACGCTAAAACACATCTTAATATTTATCGATAAAAAACCGTAAAATCTAACTGTAAATATATAGAATCATGTAAAAAACAATCGCGAATAATATCGTACGCGTTCAAAACATAGACTTTAACTTAAACTAGTGCTTAAACATTTACTGTAGTCTTTTTTTATTTCCTAACCTCCAAAATGTTGAAAAGTGTACTGAAGAGTCGTCCCGTAAACAATTGTTTAATCGAATTTCGTAAAAATATTAATAAATCGAGTACTGTTACGATTAGTGATGCCCTGAAGAATCGAAATGATACGACCAAGTTGAATTTGAACAACGACGAGGGTCAGGGGGGCAACAAGAGGCTTCTGAGGCTCAAGAAGTACAACAGGTCAGTGAAAAATTTGTTACAAATTTAAAATTCGAGAGCTATGTGAAAAATGTTATTTGGCAATCGTGCTGATTAGTTTTGGACAAAGATCGGTTGAGTCGTTTTTTTCGTAATTGACTGTTAAAAAAAAGAGTGCGCGTAAGGTTCACACGCGATTGAAGTAAAACTTATTTGCTATGTACAAGATGGCATCTAAGTTAAAAATAAATACATCATATAACAATTTTGACATTATATATTTATAATGGCATTAAAAATATGTATATTATTTAAAAACAATAATGTAATTAAAGTCATACTTCAAATATGACATGATCGGTTTGTCATTGTAATTAGTATTTAGAAATGAACCTTTATTAGAGAAATGAAGTAATTGCTGATTAATAACTTCTATAATATTTGTTCACACAGTGGATTATGTTAAACAACGCCTAAACAAATATTGTTTTCACAATTTCACTCATCATGTAATAATTTTGTTTGAAGAACTTCATGTAATTAAAATTAACATACATTCATTGACTGTTTGTATTTGTTTTACTTTTTTGCTGGCGATATAATCTCATTCTTTGAACAGTTGTAATATCTGTTTTGCCTAAAAAATATTTTCCATTTCAATAACTTCCAAGATTTATAGAAACTACGAATGATATAGAAATCCTCCTCCTTTTTTCATTTTTAGTTTGGTCGTCAGTAGAGTCCCTTTTTTTTTCATTATCAATTTTACTCGTCAGTAGAGTCTATTTCTAATTTTATTTTTAATATGCTCGTAAGTAGAGTCCCTTTTTAATTTTATTTTTAATATGCTCGTAAGTAGAGTCCCTTTTTCTTTAATTTTTAGTTTGGTCGTCAGTAGAGTCCCTTTTTCTTTAATTTTTAGTTTTGCTAGTTAGGAGAGTCCCTTTTTAATTTTATTTTTAGTATGTTTGTCAGTAGAGTCCCTTTTTAATTTTATTTTTAGATTGCTCGCCAGTAGAGTCCCTTTTTCTTTAATTTTTAATTTAATTATCTGTAGAGTTTATTTTTCTTTCATTTTTAGTTTTGCTTGTCAGTAGAGTCCCTTTTTAATTTTATTTGCTCATAAGTATAGTCCCTTTTACCTTTAAATTTAATTTAATCATCAAAGTCTCTTTGAATTTCATTTTTTTTTAGAGTCCTTCTCCTTTTTTCATTTTTAGTTTCATCGTCAGTAGAGTCCCTTTTTATTTACTAATAATATAGAACTAATTTCTAATCAGTAAACTTACGTTCAGAACAAACACAAATGTTTAATTTATTTTATTATTTTCAAGGAACAAATATTAAAAATATTCTTCTGATTCAGGCATTTTTCATTAAATCAAAATTAATACTACGATGTAAGTTTAAAATGTTTATTTATCTATGCATGTCGATTTCCTTGTTGA